CCAAGGCCATATCCAGGTGAGTTTCTCTTCATTCATGATGCCACGTATCTCTAAACTGTGTCATGTAGATTATTGACCAGGATGGACAAGCTACCCCAGCACCTCAGCATTGGTGACAGGGTGCTAGTCCGCAAAGTATTTCGAGGCAAGGGCAAACGTCCTGGCCCTATGTGGGCCCATGCCGCTTCCATAGTCAAGGTCAACCAAGTCCAGTACCTCTACCAGTTATGCTGGATACACCAAGGCCCTAATCTGCAGGATCTGCTTGGGACAGTTGCACAATGGTGGTTCCATCAACGTAATCTCAGGGCAATCCCTCCAGCCATCTCCAATGAGGAGATCCAAAAGGTGGTCGGATCTCCACCTGGACAAGACAAAGACTTTGAAGTACAGGCAATCTTGGGATTCAGAGAGAACGGGAATACAAGAGAGTATCTGGTCTTGTGGACTGGATGGCCCCCATCAGCATCCACATGGGAGCCAATGTATGTGCTTGCCAATCTCCCCACTTCCCAATAGTTATCTAAAAGTCATTTGAATTTTCTTTTATCAGATCAAACTTCAATTTTCCTTTGGAAGACATTGACAAGCGCATCCCAGACCTTGCACTCTACACTGATGACTCAATATCCACTTTGTTGAGAGCAACCAATTCAGCTGTCTTGGACCCCAAGCATTCCACAGAACCCAAGCAAGAGTTTAGGTCACATCCATTTCTCCCTGTAGCACCTCCCTTGCCAGTGACGTCCCATTCACGTATAGACNTCAACAGACTTATGCCCACCACCCTTCTTACCATTTCTGCGCAGGACAGGGTGGCCTATGAGGATGCNTACATTAGGTAAGAAACCACCCTGCCCTCTCATGACTGTGGATGAAATCATCTTACATGTTATTCATCTGCAGGGCTGTGTTCCCTACAGGGTCTGCTCTTTTTGAAGCATCATATCTCTCTGGAACACAGAACTGGAGCAATATTGTACTCAACCTTTTCCTCTTGCCAGTCATCACCTTGTGGAATCTACAAGAAAGGCTGCCATCCATTTCCTACTTCTCCTCCCAAGTGGTGTACACACTTCAAAACCTGGGCTATATGACACTTGAGCACCAGTCCCAACTGAGTCGAAAATTCATTGATAATTTGCACACGGAGATCAAGATTATCACCTTTTCATGGTCAATGAGCAGAACTTCCACTGGTATGTGATTGTGATGGACAGGAATGGAAACGCACTGGTTGCAGATGCACTGGATTGGAGTGATCACCCACATCATTATGACACAGATTTGGAGGCATGTCAGAAGGGGTTGCAAGAACTACTATTCTTGGAATTGGCACCATCTCCAAGAAACCAGGTCTGGTCTCTATTTTGGAAACAGGGTGATGGACACAGTTGTGGCTTGTTCTTGTGTGTTGCACTGCTTTTCATGATGCAGTACTCTGCACTGTTCAAGCAAAATTTGAGGGAGCCCAGCTACCTCTTCCAGTGTACCCTCACAATTTTTGGAGAAGATGGAAAGAGGACATGTATGTATTCCTTTGCGTATTGTATCCCCAATGTGCAGAACAGGACAGTTGGGGCAAGCCTCGTCTAGATTTAATAGCATTCTGATAATAAATATACAAACTTGGCCAACCTATAAATGCCATATCAATGTAAGGCACAAACATAATCCATTNCATGGGGTGGGGGGCTTCAGTTGCATGGGGGGTCTAAAAAACGTGACACAGGTCACGGAGGCAATGAAATTGAAGGACCCCACTGCTTATAGTGGTGTGACTCCAATCAATGCTGACCACAAGGTAGGGACCCTTGTCAGGCAATGGGAGCAGACTGGAGCCTTGTGGGAGAAACACACAGGAGAGGACAAGGAAGAAACCACTCTGGACGTGCTTGTGGTGTCTTATGCAAGAGATGTAAGTACTGGTATAAGTTTGTGTTTGTACCTCACTCATCCTGATCTCTTTCTTCCAGCGTTGCCAGTTTGAAATGGAGAACACCAAGGAGAAGGAGAACAGGCATGCCAAGGCAGAGATGGAATTGCTGATTGCTGCCTGTGAGTGTGTTTTGTGTTCATGCTAATTTGGTTGCTCACTCATTCTATCTAATTAGGCTTACGCAAGGACGCAACAGAAACCCTCTCCAAGAAGAGGGTGCTTGAGGACGTGGATCTGAATGCTGCAGATGGCAAGGATGAGGTCAATGTGGCAAGGAAGTGGGGGAAGCCTGTGGAGGAAGTCTGTAGCAGCCTCAAAATGATTTTTGACATGCTTTGCGTGGAGGAAAAGCAAGCTGAAGGCTAGCTTGAGGTTGCACAAGAGTTGGAGGACAGGAAGCATAAGGCGCTGGAGTTGAAGGAGCGGGAGTTAGCGGTGTGGGTGTTGGAAGCCAACAATATGAGGGATGTGATGATGACCACGTTAAAAGAGTTAATGGAAATTAAGAAACAAATTTTGTAAAGAAATATCTATTCAGAATTCAGGTATTCCTTGAGCATTGGGGGGGTTAGTCCAAACCGCACCCCTGTCTCACTTCCATACAAACAAGTATGAGTGTTTGTTAGCAGTATGCCTATACTATAGTGCAACCCTACAGGAGAAAGCTCTACCTTCAGATTCCTGTAGTAATTCAGGAACACAAAAAGTGTTGCCAGCTTCTCCCATGCCCATTCAATAGACATGCGCATGGCAATGTTCCTTGAATTATACTCCTGCTGCACAGCACTTAGATGTGCCAGCTTCCATGGACCTGCCAAATGACCATTGCCTGGCAGATAAGCTGGGTCCCCATAGATTTGGTAAGAGGTCCAAATGCTACCCAAAGTATGTTAAAGCCATCATAACAGGGCACGAAATTAGCATGAACCATGGAGTGCAAGAAGATTGTTCAATCCGCTTCTTCAGAAGATGGTGAGGTCATGGTCTGGACCAAGAAATGGTCCTGCCAGGTGGATGATAATCCCATCCAGTGACACCACACCCTGATACTTGAGGCAATGCTGCCTCTTTTGCCCACTGTAATACTTCCTTTGATTGTGCAACGGCCGTGATATCCTGTGATCTGTGCCATCAATGAATCCAAAGACAGAAACAAGAGGCGAACCAGCTTCATGAATCGCCTCACAAAACTGCTTCAGCAGCTGCAGCATCAGCTGGTCCATGTCCCATTTCAATATGTCCTTATATTGTTCCTTCAGATTGCCAACAACGTACAATACAATCCACAATAGTTCACCAGGGGAGTGACCAAATGTTTGTGAAATGTCCCAGAGGCAATTGGGGAATACAAGCTGCTTCAGAAGCTTGCCGAGTGCCCTGCACCAAGAAATTTATGACGGCTGTCCAGAACAATCACCTCTGGGAGCTCCAGACCTGTCTGGAGATGGAGAAGGTTGTCCTTTTCAAAACTGCATTCAACAAGTTTGAGCACCAATCCTGTCAGCCCAAGCAACAATTCCACAAGAACTCACCAAAAATTCAATAAGCAGTCTGCGTTTGACATGGCATTCAAATTGAGCCTTGGGTCCAGGTGGAATGGCCTCTCCAGTGGGATCATCTGCTCCAGCTGGTAGAAGAGGATCAACAGGGCCATATGCCAGCGCCTCCTCTTTGATTGCATACTAATTGCATCACAGCACAAGTCCCCACATCAGAATCAGACAAGTCCAATGAATTGTCTTGCATGTTTTTGTGTCCACCGGAATTGTGCATTCTGGGTTGGCGCAAGGTGTGGGCTTGAATTTTATTTTCATAAAAAATGTAATTAATGGTAAATGTGCATATTTTGATTGAGCTGTGACAGCTCATAATGATTTATGAGAGTTTCATTAAAAAAAATGATTTTGCTTTGGGAATGGGTTTCTAGATCAAAAAGTGGAGCAGTCATTGTAAATAGGAACAATTCTATGGTGTTCCTCTTCCCCAATTGCCTAAATGCACCCTTAGGTACAGAACAAAATCAGGAATCTCACCAACTCTCCTTGAGCTTATAACAGCTACACAAGTGTTCAATCCCAGCTCCTGTATCTGTTACATTCCAACCCAAACTTTTGTGCTGCTTTGCCCATACTTTCTGGGAAACACCTCCCTGCACAAGTCCTAGCATCTCTATTTATAGATTTTCCTGAGATACATCACATAATTTGTGTAAGTTACCTTGTATATGTCATCTCTTACTTCTCCCATCTCAACTCACTTGTCTCCCCAGTCACCATGTAACCTCTCTGTTTTCTTGGCTCTCCCTTTTGCACTTGTGTCTTGCCCAACATTTGCATGCCTCACTCCCACAGGCAAGTGATGCACCCACTCCACCTGACAAGCCAAGATATGTAAAACTTTTGTCTTTCAAGACTCACATAGTTCCAAGTGCTCAATGCAACCATCTTAAGCAAGAAAATGACCATGTAAACAGGACATACAATGGTTTTCACCTATCTGACAGGGGTTTTAATTTGAAATTCAATCCTACAATGTCCTAATCACTGATGGCAGCATTTGCATTGACGGTACTATGACTGCCGTTGGTGACAAAAGAATAAAATGAAATTGCCGGCACAGCTCTGCTTGGTCAATTCTCCTTCAGAGGCTGGGAGCAATTTTGCCCATGCCCAGCTGCTCACCATCAAATAATTCTTTGTGTATGTCATCATTGCATCAGCTATTCAGAAGATTGGCAGCACTCAAAGAGGAATTGCTGCTGTCTGCTGTACATGAGCCAGGCATCAGCCTAGCACAGACCAATTTATTTTTTTGTTGTAGTTATGTATCGTAGCTACTTGTCCAATAAGGTTTTCATCAGCGAAGATATTGGGGTGAGGAGTGAGGGGTTCCAAGGTGGACAGACACCTTCCAACCGTTTAATTTTTAAAATAATATATACACAATGTTGGTTTAATTTCCAATGTTCCGGGGGTCATTAGATCAGTGGATAGATCATCTGACTACGAATCAGGGGGTCGCAGGTTCGAATCCTGCATGACTCGCATTTTGCTAGATCAGTGGGTCATTAGATCAGTGGATAGACCGCCCGACAACGAATCAGGGGGGTCGCAGGTTCAATCCTTGCACGGCTCGTCTTTTGATCCTTTCGAGTCAATGCGAATACAACCCGGTCGTTGCTCTTTCACTTCTTGAGACTATCTTTTTCTTTGTTGCCTGTGCAAATATTTAATGTGGACCACGTTTTATGCAACTGGCACAGTATTAAGTTGCGAACATGCAAGAATGGGTTGATACGATAAAGCCAACATTGAATGTCCTTCGAAATATTCTATCGTTTCCCGAGTTTACCTCCCTTAGATCCCCGTTCTAATTTGCCTTTGAGCTTCCGCAAAATTTGTACCTGGTTTAGTGTTTGAGCACCCTTCTCCCCCCGATGTTTTTCTGCAAGAGCTGCCGCCTGTCCCGAATGCTTTGCTGTTCTTTCCTTATTTGAAGTCTTGCTTGGAAGTGATACAATACCGGACTTTGAGGTTGATGGGTTGAAGTTCACGGGAACCTCAAATTTGTCACCATCAGCAGTGGCGATTGCATATCTTTGAAATGCCCAGAAAAGAAGCAAAACGGAAGCAATTGATCAAAGGAAGCGGTGATTACAAACCGTGTGAGCACAAACTCACTTCCCCAGATCCATCGATGATATCATTTCTCGTTGCTTTTCCTTCCATTGTTGTACCGCCTCCTTCCCTGCTTCCTCCAATTCGTCATCAAGTTCACCCGGGGTGGGATCCCACGCCTCCTCACCATCCTCGTCTGTTGGGAGGGGACGCTTCTTTCCGACCTTTACCTGTGACTGAACACCATCCTCGCGGTCAGATTGATCCTCGTCATCGGATCCGCTAGATGTGGCTGATCCTTCATCAATCCCGTCGGGGTTTGTTTCGGACACCGAGAGGTGTTCTGCCTTAGCAGCGGTGTTGTTCTTGAACTTCCTTTCCTCGTCTATCTCCATCGCGACTTCACTCTTTTCGAGGGCTCGACACCATACCACAACCTTTCGCACCACTTTGGTGAACAGAGCAAGTATTTGGCTGACAGGAAGCTTAATTTCCGACTCGATTTCTTCCACAGCTTTCCTTTGAAGACCCATACCACAGAGAACAGAGGATTGCACGGGCGAAAGCCGAACTCCGCCATCACCATCATCGCCTTGCGCTCCAGGAACATGATACGAAAAGCCCCCCAAAAAGTACAACGTCGCAATCTTTGGAACAAGGTCTACGATCACGTGATGATCCGCCATGTTGTTTCCATACTGTTCCAGACGAGCGAGGTCATGAGGTGAAAAGCTACGGTAGAGATCCATGCGGCGCTGGATTGGTGTTATCGTTGTGCGCTTCGCAACAAGGAGTTCAGGATCATGCTTCGGAATGGCCGCTTCCAGGATGGAGAGGCAAGTAACAGCGGTGAAGTGTCTGAAGTTGGGATAGCTAAGAAGCTCGACGAAACGTCCTGCAAAGTCTCTCGTGAACCCTTCAATCCACCCTTGGCCTTCCCTATCGTCATATAACATCTCTCGTATGACGATGCAAGTATGTTCCCCCGTAACGTCGTTGGCAGTTTGGCGAAGATACACTGGTCTGAATCCGTGCCTCTTCCAGAACCGATGAAGTTCTGTTGTAAGGCCATATGAGACAGCTATCCAGTCAAGTCGGGCTCGCGGAGGGTTCTCTTTGGCTTTTCGAAGAAGTGCAGGCAATTTTGCTGCGTCGCGCGGCTTGAGCAACAAGTGTCTCGAATCGTTCTCGAATGCCGTGTCATCAATCTTCCGCACGTTTCCTTCCTCCACAAACGACGAACCCTCATCCCCGTCTTCGCCACTCTCAATCCATCGAACTACTTCTTCCATACATCGTCCACCATATCCCATTCCAACATACTCGCTGGATGTGGCTATTCGCACGATACGCGCACCGGAAAGTTGCGCAAAGCCGTCGTCTCCGAACTGCTGTGAAACAACCCATGGAACCAAGTCACCATCTGGACGGTGGCCACGTGAGAGAGAACGGAGAACTGTCGCCCGGGAAATGGAGCCCTCAAGGCACATCTAATTCATCGCATCAACCAAGAGTCTCAAAAATGATATAGGGGAAATCGTAAAAATTTAAGGCCGTACCTGAACAACAACAATCGGTTCAGGGACTCCGCTTCCGACCTGAGGTGCAGTCAATACAGCAACCACGTGCCCTGGTGCATCACCCATAAGCATCAAATCATTCGGGGAGTTCTTGTAATGGCCCGCCACATAGACAGCTACCATCTTTCGGAGGAACTGTTCGGCAGCTGGATGATACGAGAACAGTGAGTCCCGGGACACAATGTAAAGGTCACAGGCGGAAGGATCAGGGTACGAAAGAGGTCTAGGTGAAGGTTGAGGAGAGACAGAAGCTGCGCCCGTCGCGTAAGGGTCGCAGCAATCAAGGCAAAGGAGCTTATTGAGCCACGATTCAACAGGGTCCGAAGATGCATAACGAATTGGAGTTGAGAGGGTGATCTCACGCAGAGATCGCTTTGACAGAGTAGCCGACGGTGCAGACTGCGAGCTCTTCAACGTAGAGCTGGAGTTTCCGCCAGATGAAGCTTCTCGAAGCTCTTTCACGAGTTTCAGACTCAAGCTTCTTCCTGTTCCTTCATAACCATTTACGGTGCTAGACATCCACGTTACCCAGTCCCCAACCATTGAGCGAACCAAATTTACGGGTATTCCTGCCGCTTCATCCACCACGACAAGTTCGGCCTGAGCAAGTAGGTGGGCGTCCTGAGGGTGAATATACTGAACTGTCTGCCTGTGCCCCCGGTGAATGTCGAGCCGTACAACGACGCCTTTCGACGCTGGATCTGTAGACTGGTGAATGGTGTAGTCTAAATGTTCTTGATATTCCAGAGCATCGAGGGAGAGAAGGAGGTGACGGAAAAGAGTGGGAAGATTTGTTGGAGATGGTGACGTAAGGAAAATATTTGCATAGCTATTTTATGAGAAGATCAAAATCATTCGACAAGGGCTTCCTGGAGAGTTGCGGCAACTTACCCGTACGAAACGGCGGCGGCCAATGCCATTCCCATAGCTGCCGACTTTCCCCGACCTCGCGCAGCTGTGAGCGCGACCACGCCACCCAAACTTTTTTCCGCTATAGAGTCAACGAACGTAAGCACTGCTTTCCCTTGGTCCAGGGTCTTTGCCAATCCCACAATCGGTCCCACTGGCCGGACATCTTTCAAAGATTCCTTCAGCGAAACAAGCTCCGGATCATCCTTGGTATCCGCAGGATTGGGAAGTGTTGCAGATGATGTAAGGTCACGTGCGCTTGTCACGTTTAGAACGTTGAGCTCATCATCTACCACAAGGCATCCCTGACAGTCCGCAAGACTGAGAAGGAACCGTTCGTTAAAGCGGCCCACTACATCTTGTCTTGCTTCCGTCCGATAACGTGCGTGAGCGTCCATCGACAGGGCGTACAGCTTCTTCAATGAGCTGAGTGAATTAAGCATAAGGATGACAAGACCTCCACCCGAAACAGTTTCAACAGTGCGAGCGAGGAGATTCGGCGTCAATGATTCGAAGTCCTTGAGTTATAATTAGTACTGCGACTTTGCTAGTTCCATGGCATCCATGAGGGAATACTCACTTGGAGGACACACATACCAAACGTTTGACCCAAAATCTTATCCGTTTCCTTGTAGTAACAGTACCGGATTTCTGTCGACGCTACAAACAGCTCGAATGGGTCGTCCTCATCGGCGTCTCGAGTCCCTCTTTGTATCTGCTTCTTTATAATCTTCATCCTCTTTTTCCTGTGACTGGAAAACCCAAGTTCTTTCTTATAGCACCACAGCACAGACGGTCTCGATGCAACCCGCGCCTTAGAGAGAATGAAATGCAGGTTCGGGACTTGGTCTCGGGCATGGTCCCCGACAATGATGAAGAGATTTCGATGGTTGCCCGCGACTGCCGAGTTAATGGACCCAACGATCCGTGAGTCAAGCTTCTTTCGCCGCGGCGTATGCGCTCCTGATGGTCCTCCTTCATCCCGACTTGCTGCGGGTTCAGGTTCGCGTGGGGCCATTATGCTAGAATTTTCTCTTTTTGAGAGACCGCGAGCCAAAGCTCCTGCGGTCATTTTGTCCAACGTTACCTCCGGCAATTCGTTCCCTTCACGCACAAATCACACCTTTCTCAATATTCTACACCAATATCTCATGTTTTCAACCTTAACCGGATATGCGCCACGGAAAGACTTGCCCCCCCTTTCCGTTGCGTTGACACCATCTTCCACGCGGAACCATCGTGCATCAGTGGAATATACCAGCTCGAAATGAGGTCGCGGGTTGGACCGCGACGGTGTGGCCAGAAGGTCTAATAATCGGTAGACCGGAACCACACGACCACCAGAAGCTTCTGGGTTTTCACCCGAGCTTTCGGGGTCCTTTGGCGTTGCTGTTCGCGTCTGAGATGTTCTGGCATTCCCAAGCGTGTGGGCCTGCTTGCGACTTTGCTTGGCACTTGCCGTAATTTCTCCACCACTTTTGTTGCTCGTCGTGGATATTTCTAGCTCAGAGAAACTTCCACTGGAGTCAGCGCACAAGAGCAGAGCACCTGGTCTCATTTTATGAACCAATCCTTCGACAAGACCGACTGTATCCTTTTTGGAGCTGCGGAAGAGCTCGTTCAAGGTAAAGAGCAAGGTGATGATGGACGCTGTTGTGATGGATTGTGATTGCGAGTCGCTCATACGTGGTCGGAAGAGGTCCAAAATATCTGCTTTGTGGAAGGAATACCCAATCTGGTGTCTCGAGAGACCCCACGATGAGCGCATCGAATGTTCTAGAGTGTCCAATATGTTGGCATAATCGCCGAAATCCACAACGTGCACAATCAAGCCCGTTTTCGATGTTCCTTGATGGGAGCTCTGTGATTCGCTGACAGCCGAAAACTCAGCGGATGTTGAAATCGACTGGCTCGTGCTGAGGAAGGCATTTCTCATCAAACATGCTGTGAGTCCGACCATTTCGCTTCCACAACCACCCCCAAGGCACGTCACTACGACTGTGTCTTCCTTTGCTCGTCCGAGCACGTT